GAAATGGTAGTTAGAAGCCACAGTCTAGGGACTAGGTGCTCATTGGTACTGGGTTGGTCATTGTTTGGTTTTAAAAAATGTAGAGCTAGAAAATACTACTTTCACTTTTTAAAGAGAAAATATATCGTAAAGTCACCCTGATATTTTTCAACTCAAATTCAGGATTACAGAATTTAACTTCTTTCATTTTTATATTTGTGTGTCATTTTTCTTACACTGAAGATCCTATTCCCAATGATGGTAGGATAGTTACTTACTTGTTATGTCCTACAGTATATAAAAATATAATTTCAGAATAACAGAACTACAGTATTATCAACAATGATAATTGAAAACAATTTAAGATTTTCTTAAAACTTCATTTTGTTTTTAGGCTATATCCACCAGGAATGCACAAATTACTGTGTTATAAAGTCACCTGAAATAATTTTTTTGTGTGGTTATGTTACCCATTCAATACTAGTTAGGATTATTTGATTCATTTTGCTTCTAAATCTTAGAAATTGTTTAACAAGTAAAATTTTTAATTCTATTTTATAAACTATGTTAAATATATATGATTTTGATTTGAGATGTATTCAGAGAAGTCTAGCTTTTATCCTATTCCTTCCATTCTGTTCCTTCTTCCCTTAGAGGTAAATGTTAATTTTTAAAAGCTTTATTCTTTCTTTTAAAAAATATAAATGAACAGTTATATAGTCACATCAACACCCCTTTATTAGATAATTAGTAGCATATTCACTTTTTTCCACCTTACTTTTTCACTTAATAATCCTAAAGATCATGCCATAGCATCATATAGAAATCTTCCTCCTTCCATTTTTGTTTGTTTTTTATAGCTGTACATTATTCAGTAGTGTGGATGTACTCAAGTTTATTCAAGAAATCCTCTATGATGAATATTTGGGGTGCTTCTTCAAGTAACAATACAATGAAAAGTGAAGAAATGGGATTTCAGTGTACAAAGGTGGTTTATGTGTATAATTTTGGCAGATATTGCCAGGGTCCCCTCCTTCGGGTTATGTATCATTTTGTATCTCCTCCAGCAGTGTTCATTTCCCCTCTAGCCTTGCTTAGAATAAGCTGGCAAACTTTTGGCATTTTGTGAATTGATGGGGGGAGTTGTAGTGGTTGGTGGTGGAACTTAAGTGTAGTTTTGATATGGGCTTCTGCTGTTCTGTTATCATGGGTTAGTTTCAGTATGTTTTCATATGTTAAGGTCCATTTGCATTTGTTTTCGTGCAAATTGTTTGCTCATATCACTTGTCCATTTTTTATATAGGGTTTTTTTTTCACCATTTCTACAAAATGTTTTTATTTATTAGGTTTATTTACCCATTGTGATGTAAAATGCATTTTTTTTTGTTTGTCATTGGTAGTTTTATATTCCTTATGGTGATTTTTGCCATGTAAAAGTTTACTTTTACATTTTAATTTCAGTTTTCTTCCCTAATTGCTTTTGGATTTTTAAAGTAATTACAGCAACTTAGCTAGCAAAATTTTTTTCTCTTGTTCATTATAGAGGAATTCATCTATGTTTTCTTCTAGTATTTGTATGGTTTCATTTTTTTAAAATATTTAAATCTCCAATCAATTTAGAACTTTATCCTGGTATATGATGTAAGAAATAGATCCAATTTAATCTTTTTACATTTTATCTCAAGGTCATTTAATAAAAAGCCTATCTTTTCCCTAGTGATTTGAGATACCTCTTACATACTAAACCCTTTCCTGTCACAAAAATCAGAAGTTAAGATTAGCAATTACCTATGAGGAACACTGGCAAGGGAATTCTTGCACTGTGTGAGAGACTTGGTCCAGAGGAATTTTTTCTTTCTTTTTAGAGAGACTAAATTCTGATCCTTGTATCAGTTGGACAATTCACCTTGGTTTATGTGAAGGGAAATCGGTGTGGTGCTTAAATTTTTTCAAATAATTCTACCCATTTTTTTATTAGTTAGAGAGCCTGTATTCTGAGACCATTAATCTGAATCACCAATTGCTTTATCATGATCTGGCAACAAATGACTCAAATGTTTTTGTAATGGGATGTTTCTGAGGTCTAAAATTAAATAAACAACTGAAGACTTTTTACTCATGAATTTGTAAAATTAATGTTATAATAACAAAATTACATGAATGTTCATTACAAGTCACCTCTTACCCTAAAGGATTTCTCTTAATAGCTTTTTAGTGGCATTTAAGGTTCAAATTGTGCAACAAGTATTCACACTGACTGGAAATGGAAAAGACCAGCAACATTCAGGAAATTGGCAGAGATTTTGAGCTCTGTGAAGGTAGAGTAAAGAAGACAAGGGGGTGGAGTTGTGCATGTGTTTGGGAGTTGTTTCAATTCAAGCCATGTGGTAGGTTTCCTCCTTCTGTAAAATGATTTAAAATGGAATGTTTATTTGCTGGTGACTATTTCTAGTCACCTTTACTACTCTGTTGGAATACTGTAATCAAAAGTAGTGATGATAACAGCTTATACAAAATGGTGGTTCTTGGAAGATGAGTATAGCTCAGTGGTAGAGCACACGCTTAGCATGCACAAGGTGCTGGGAACAGTCCCCAGGACTTCCATTAAAAAAAAAACTAAAAAAATCCCCAAAACTAAAATGGTTGTTCTAGTCAAGGTTTTTAATAGAAACTTATAGTTGTAGTAATTCCCACTTTGACCAATGGGTCAGGTCTTAATAGTCATGCACTTTCAATGCTGGGAATTTTGAAATTTTATTTATGGAAGTGAAGAAACTCTGCTTTGTTAGTCAACCAGAGTCACTGATAGCATGAATCTCATTCTCTGGACAGTTTGGGACCATGGAAATATAGAAAAAGAATATAAATTACCTTCCAAGCTGGAAGTTCACTTTTCAAAGCAGTTTTTCTCTGTGCCTTTATCAAGGAACAGTTTCATACACCCCAACGAATACCAACTTATTTACTCTAAGGAGTATAGAACTATATTTTCACAACACTTGTACTTTCCAATAAGAAGAGTCAAAATGTACAGAAAACCACAAACTCCACTCCCAGGAAGAACAGACAGTCAGCTGCCTGGGACACACAGGGCAGCATGCTGGAAAATGGAGAGCTAGACTGGATGCTCTCCTGAGCTCCCCTTCCACCCCATGGGTCTGTGAGAAAAACAGTGAAGAGGGTCTGGGTGATAAACTGGTAATCTTCAGTAATGTGAAATAATGCGATTATTTAAGAGAGCCTGTCAAAAAGGCATATGCTGTTTCAAATAGCAGGAACTGCTAATTGAAGGTACCTGCCTCATAAAGGCTTTCTGTGGAATAGGGATGATCTTAAGCAAGTTTCAACATAATCAAATGCTCCATCTCTTATTTTTTTTTAGATGCCTGTTTTAAAAAAGCTTACTCTCTCTTTTCTCTAGAAGATTCTCAAAATATGCTGCTGCAAAAGCCGGTATATTGTCCGGTTGCTCCCTCAGAATCTCACGTGTCAGCCCTTCAAGAAGATTCCCAAATCCTTGTGGAATTCGGTAGTGGGTGTTGGAGAATGGAATCGACATCTCCTTGGAAGGAACTGCCTATTGTACCTAGAGATTTATTAGAGAGTATTGACTTTAAATTAGTATGATTTTACTTATATAATCAGAACTAAAACAACAAATAATTTCTGAGACCCCAAACTTCTGGACTTCAATCCTTTCCCCCCCAACACAACCCAAGTCCATCCATCTCTTCCAGAAAGTTTTGAAATTTTCAATTAGAATATTAAAAACATTTAATACGTGAATCACAAAGTTTTCACTATAATACCAAGTACTTTTTCCTCTTTGTCCCACCATCTTTCTTTCAAACGGTAATTTTTGCTATCCCAGATGAATTTATAGTAAATGTTAAAAATCCACCTTAAATTGCCAAAAGACCCTGTTTAGGGTCTGGAATTAAAAAAAAATTAAGAACTTGTTCTTTTTTTTTCTCTCTGTGATTTATCATAACATTTTGTGTATATTTCCCTGTGCTATACAGTGTAATCTTGTTTATCTATTCTACAATTTTGAAATCCCAGTCTATCCCTTCCCACCCAAGAACTAGTTCTTGTTATAGAAATAACTAATTTGTTGAATGAGTAAGTTTCACACTTATTCATTCCCTTAGCTTCTACTTCTGAAGCAGGATCTCCAGTGCCTCGTCGAAGCATCTATAGACTCTGGAAGGGGCAACGGGGGCGGAGAAGCTGGGAGCAAGATCATCATTTTGCAATGCCAGCCTTCGGAGTTCTGGGATTCTTATATTTTCTGTTTTTGTTTTGACCAGGCCTTCTCTTCCTGTTGTGGAATACAGGGGCTACATAAGGATAGCTGCTGAGCAGAGGGTTGGGCACTCGGGGACCTGGCCTGTTTGTGAGCGTGTCTATACCCAGTAAGGCTGGAGGCCGTGCTGGGGGTCTAGACAGTTTAATGAGGCCTAGTCTGGGGAGGTTCTTTTTCTCTTTTTGAGGGAACAGGAGATGAAGTATTGAATCATTCTAGGGTTGTGAAAAGGAGGAGACCCCAAACCAATCTGGGGAGTGGAGTGGGGGAGGGGGGGAGGGCACAGGCCTGGTCGGGGCGCGACGTCGAGGGTCTGGGATTTCATACTCGCAGAATGGGTTGCTTGGCTCCCAGTCTGCGCTAAGCTTCCCGGAATGCGGCGGGGATCCTGAGAGGATGCGAGAGGCGAAGGGAAAAGGCGAGGTCTCGCTTTTGGAGCGGAAATGGGGTGAACGGCCTCACCTCTTCGTTCTTTCAGAGCTGGAGCCGATGGTTCCGGTTGTTTTTCTCGTTGCTGGGCGAACCCTTCCCCCCCCCCCTCCCG